GGCGGCGGCGGTCCGGCGCGGCGGCGGTGCTCTCCGGCGTGGTGGTGGGGGATCTTCTGGGCGGCGGCGCTGCTGTTGGCGGCGGGGCGGCGCGGCGATGCGATCTGGCGGCGCCCGCTCGGCCCAGATCTGGGCCCTTCGGGCCCCATCTGGGTCTGGGTGGGCCGGCAGCGGGGAGGGTCGTCGGTGTGGCTTCCGGGAGGCAGGGAGCGGCGATGGGCGGGTGGATGCTGGCGGCGCTGGTGCCGCCCTACTGCAGCATGGTCGGCGGGGCTTTACGGGCCCAAATCGGGCCTGGCCGGGCCAGGGGTGGCCTGGTATGCCCTGCTGCTGCGTCCGGACGGCGATCGCGACGGTGCCAGAGACTCGGGCCTCCCGCACGACTGCGGTGGAGGTAGTTCCCTCCCGCGTGGCTCCGGTGCTGCTGCTCCTGTCGCGCGTCTCTCTCCATCATCTTGGCCTCGTGGTGGTGATCTCGGTGAGGCGGCGTGGGTGGCGTCAAGACCGCGGTGGCGCATGCTGGTGGGCGGCGAGGTGGCTGGTTGGCTTCGGCCTGGTTGGGCGGTGGGGCTTGGAGTGCGGGAGAAATCCCTTGCCGGCTCTCTTCCGGCTCCGATGCGGTGACACCTGCGGTTGCCACCATCCCTTCTTGGAGGGTGTCGGATGTATTCATCCCCCACTTCCTTTCGCGTGCCGGGGGAAACCCTAGGACACGTCCGGGCAGCAGCGTCGTCGACGTCGCATCCCTTGCTGGAGGTGCTGCTTGGTACGCGGCGGGTCGGAGCCTGGGTCTGTGGTGGGTCTATTTCGGAGGGCGCAGCGGTGGCGGGTCATCCGCGCTTTGTCGAGCTGCCGTCGTTGGCATTTCTTTCTTCTTCTTTCTTCTTTCTCTTTCATTTGGGCTTGTTGTGCTTCTCGCCCGAGCACTCCTCTGTATCGGTGTTGGTTGCTTTGTAATACAAAGCGGGGGGAAACCCTTTTTCGGTAAGAAAGAGAGGCATTTGGTAACATAGCTAGTTACTCATAGTATGAGTAGCCACAGTGGGGAGTAAGTTAGACCATTACTAGTCTATGTTACTACCTCCATAGTGAGTAGTAACATATGTGTGATGTCATGCAACACTTTATTTATTAAGTTGTAGACTCTTCTTGTCTTGGTATGTGTGATGTTTCTCATACTATGAGTAAGAACAGTCACAGTGGAAAGTAACTTACAGTAGTAACATATAGACAATTCTAGACTATGTTACTACCTTCATAGTGGGTAGTAACATATGTGTAGTACAATGCAAAGCTTCATTTACTAGGTTATCGGCTCATTTTGTGTTGGTATGTGTGATGTTACTCATATAATGAGTAACTAGCTAAGTTACTCAATTTACTTCTCTCCTCGTTAACTCATTGCTACATAAGAAAATTTGCTGAGTTGGACCTGATATTACTCTTGAAATTACTCCCACTGTTGCCAGTCTGATTAGTATGTTATCACCTGCCTCTCTTTCTTCATTAATTACTTGTCATATAATCTATTTTGCCTAGATATGTGTGAGATTACCACCTATATTACTCCCACTATGGATAGTCATAGCATGAGTAACATCATACATACCAAGACAAGATGAGTTTACAACCTAATAAATGAAAGTGTTGCATGACATCACACATATATTACAATCCACTATAGAGAGGTAGTAACATAGACTAGTAACATATGCATGTTACTAGTCTAAGTTACTCCCCATCATGACTAATTTGATTGGTCATTGCAGACAATTTAGATAGCACGTTGTCTAAATTAAGAGAAGGCA